AAAAAATAAATCCAAAAATACAAGTTTTCTTTGGGTATAGTCATAATGTATTGCAACCTAAAGTTTTTTTAAGTTGTAAAAATATTATTCATTTTCCCTTACAAAAGTAGAGATTAATTAGAAAACAAAACTTCTATGACTAAGCCAATATTGATTATTTCATAAAGAGCAGACATTTCAGTTTGAGAACAAACCTCTTTTACCTTCTGAGTAAAACATAACCAGGCCCTCAAACATCTAGTAGACTTCCTTGGACAGGCAGAGAGATTCCCCACGCCCAACCCAAACCCATACAAAAAATTGATTCATGGATCCAGAGAGATAGTACAGTGGTCATGAAGCTTATCTTGCACATGGCCAACCCAGGTTCTATTCCCAGCACCATATTTGGTCCCCTGAGGCCTTCAGGAGTGGTCCCTGAATGCAGAACCAGGGGTAATCCTACCACTCAGGTGTGCTCAGCCCTCCAAAAAGAATTTGATTCTTCAGTTTCTCCATTACTCAGAAAAAAATATTACTGGTTCAATGAAAATGACTTTAATTCAAGAGAATAAAGTCTTGAGGGGTTATAGCATTTGGCATATGGTAAGCCATTCCCTTGCATATGGCAGCAGCGGTGACAATGGTACCATATATGGTCCCCTGAGCATTGCCAGGTTTTGCCTTTGAGCTTCACAGATATGCCTCCCACACACACCAAAAAAAAAAAAAAGAGAAATTAAAGAAAGGAAGGAATAGCTACCATTAATAATAGGCTATGTTCTATAATTTTATATGTAGCACTGCACTGTAGCACTGTCTTCCCATTGTTTATCGATTTGCTCAGGCGGGTACCAATAATGTCTCCATTGTGAGCCTTGTTTTTACTGTTTTTGGCATATCAAATATGCCACGGGGAGCTTGCCAGGCACTGCCTTGCAGGTGGGATACTCTTGGTAGCTTGCTGGGCTCTCTGAGAGGGATGGAGGAATCTAATCAAACACTGGTCAGTCACATGCAAACATTCTACCCGCTGTGCTATTGCTCCAGTAGTTATTGTAATTGGACAGAAACGGAGGAAGCAGATGGGGCTTGAGGACTGGTGTAGAGGTGTGGGCAGGAAGCCTATGTTTCTTCAATAGTTCCTCTATCTATACTGTTGAAGTCAGATGTTGTCTCATTAACATGCAAGTTGCGTACAAGTTATGCAATAAGTCTTCCAATGGAACTTAAGTGTCTTTCTATGTAGATCTGGGCAGAATCTCTGGCACTTACTTGAGGCCCTAATGGGTCATTTCATGTCCCATGCCATAATTCAGAGCTGTAGCATGTTTATTTTATAGGCAGATACTAGCTCTGATCATAACTTCCATAACATGTTTTCAGAGAAAGGCAGAGTGATATCTGAACACAATGCAACAATGTTGAATGACCCATATGAAAGGCCCATTTTCATTCTCAGGCTCTCGAAATTGGCACAAACTGTTCTTTGAGTATCTGGGGAGAACAAAGGGCTGGACTATTGGGGGGAGACAAGACCTTATTATCTTGGATACCCTGCTCCAAGTGTGGGTAGTTTCAAAGGAAAGGATACTGAGGGCTTGGAACAACCTGGAACGACCTTGGAACCACTTCACTGTCCCTGGATATGGATATGCGTATCTCCTTAATCCCAAGCCTTATGTGGAAAAGCATAAATTCAAGTTACTAGAAATAAAAGACTATGTATGGGGCATGTGCCCAATGCTTTGGGATGTAGCTTGATAAAATCTGAAGCAAGTATTAGGGTAGGGACTGTAAGAGGCTGAAAGAAAACAACCACCATGGCCCAAATTGTGGCTTCATTTAGTTAAATACCACCTGGAATATCTGTTCATTGTAAACTTCCTAAGAGTTCACCAGCCAGGAAACCCGAGCTCCAGACAGCATCTGCCTTTGGATTTACACGCAAGTTAAAAACTGAAAATTAAAATGTGATAATCCAGCAAATACTACTTCCTATTGCATGATACTCAAGAGATTTGACTTGGGGCCTATAGAGATAGTTCAAAGGGAGAAAGTATTAAATCCCCAAGATTCCATAGAGGAGTGACCCCTAGCATCAGCTGAATGTAGCTCCCCAGCACTTCCAGGTGTACCTCCACCACCCAGTACAAATAAGAAGTTAGACCTGGGAATTGTGTAGATGGACAAAATTATTCAAGGAAGCTCAATGTCACTGCTATCATTTATGATAAAGATAGTTGGGGTCCAAATTTCAAATTACTCACATGATTGATCACATGCCCTCCAGCATAAAATTGACATTGGTTACATTTAAAATTCTTGGGGGAAATAATTGTCCACTATGGTACAAAGATAAAGGTATTAAAATAGGAGGCTTGTTCCTCTTTAACAGATTGTGCTGGCAAAACTGGATGGCTACATGCAAATAAATGGGCTCAGATCTCTGCCTAACACCATGTACAAAAGTAAGATCAAAATGGACTAAAGATCTTAATATCAGACCAGAATCCATAAGGTCCATTGAAGACAAAGTTGGCAAAACCCTCCACGACATTGAAGCTAATGGTATCTTCAAAGATGTTACGCTACTGGCCAAGCAAGTGAAAACAGAGTTAGACAAATGGGACTATCTTAAACTAAGAAGCTTCTGCACCTCAATAGAAACAGTGACCAAAATACAAGAACAAGTCTACAGAATGGGAAAGGATATTCACCCAATACACATCCGACAGGGGGTTGATATCAAGGATATACAAAGTACTGGTTGAACTCCTCAAGAAGAAAACATTCAACCCCATCAAAAAATGGGGCGACGAAATGAAAAGAAACTTTCTCAAAGAAGAAATCTGAATGGCAAAAAGGCACATGAGAAAATGCTCTACATCATTAATCATCAGGGAGATGCAGATCAAAACCACAATGAGATATCACCTCACACCACAGAGACTGGCCCACATCCAAAAGAAGAAAAGCAACCGGTGTTGGCTAGGGTGGGTGAGAAAGGGAACTGCTTCACTGCTTCACTTCACTGCTGGTGGGAATCCGACCAGTTCAGCTCTTTTGGAAAGCAATGTGGACAATTCTCAAAAAATTAGAAATTGAGCTCCCATTTGACCCAGAAATACCACTCTTGGGAATATATCCCAGAGAGGCAAAAAAGTGTAGTCGAAGTGACATCTGCACTCATTTGTTCATTGCAGCACTGTTTACAATAGCCAGAATCTGGAAAAAACCTGAGTGCTCGAAAACAGATAACTGGTTAAAGAAACTTTGGTACACCTACACAATGGAGTACTATGTAGCTATTAGAGAAGATGAAGTCATGAAATTTACATACAAGTGGTACTACATAGAAAGTATCATGCTAAGTGCAGTGAGTCAGAAAGAGGGGGACAGACATAGAAAGATTACATTCATCTGGGGAACATAAAGTAACAAAATAGTAGACTAACACCCAAGAATAGCCGAGATAAGTACTAGGAGGTTCACTACATGGCTTGGAGGCCAGCCACATATGCTAGAGGAAAAGGCAGCTCAGATAGAGAAGGGAGCACCAAATAAAGGTGTTGGGAGGATCCTCCCAGGATGGGAGAAGCATGCTGAAAGTAGACTATAGACCGAACATGATTGCCACTCAATGACTCTTTTACAAACCACAGCACCTAAAAGGGAGAGAGAACAAAAGGGAATGCCCTACCACAGAGGCAGGTGGGATGGGGGAGATGGGGGGTGGGAGGAATAGTGGGATCAGTGGTGGTGGAGAACGGGAACTGGTGGAGGGATGGGTACTCGATCATTGTATAACTGAAACCCAAGCACAAAATTTTGTAAGTCTAAATAAAATAAAATAAAATAGGAGGCATCTTAAAGAGAAAGCAAAACTGAAATTCACAGCTTTACTGAATATTCAGAAACAGGGCTGGAAGAGTCAAGAGCCTTGTGCACCCGCTGGAAGCCTGTTCAGTTTCTCTCCTTGCAAAGTTACCTCGTTTTCAACCAGGCTTCGCCAAATTTTGCGTTCTCGGGTATATTGAGCCACGCTAGTGGGTTGATACCATTGGAAGCAAGTAATATGGTAGAGTACTAGGTGCACACATTGTGGATGCCTCAGAGACTTTACATTGCAATAACCTGAACCACAGTCTGTGTAAAACACAACAGATTCTTTTTATTTGATTCTTCCCCCAAACCCGACACACACACACACACACACACACATACACACGCACACACGCACGCACACACACACCCCACTGAGATAAAGCAGGTAACACCCCAAATAAAGAAACTTTTTAAAAACAATTGGGCCCGGAAAGATAGTACAGCAGGTAAGGCACTTTGGATGCCTTGTATGCGTCCAACTCAGGGTCGAACCCGTATGGTCCACGATCCTGTCAGGAGTGGTCCCTGAGCACAAAGCCAGATGTAAGCCCTGAGTGCTGTCAGGTGTGACCCTCGCCCAAACAAAGCAAAAATCATTTTATAAACGAAAAATTATGGTTCTATTGACATCTTCAGTGTTCCGGACTTTCTGAGAGCAAAGTCCAAGTTATCACTTATGTGTGATAAAAGACAAAGCAAAACAAACACAAATCTTGGCGACGAGTGGTCTGATCATAGGAGCATACTTTGAACAAGATAAGTGCACGGGGTAGCCTTTTTCGTCACTCTGCATCATTGACAGCAGCGCCACTGCCAGTCTGCGCACTGCGGAGCAGTTTGCGATCAGGCTGATTAGCCTGGTCCTAGAGTCAATAGCTTCTTCTCTGCGCCCAGGGTCACCCTCCCGCGTCCTCCGTTACCTGCGCTCGCCCACGCAGACGCCCCAAACCCAGGCAGTCCCCGCCTCCCGCGTTGATTGGCAGGCGGCGCAGCTACTCAGAAGCCGGCCTTCCCCAGGCCGGTTCGCCCCAAGCCCAAAAGGCCGCAGTAGCCAATGGGAGCCAAGAGGCGGGGCCGCGGCGAGGAGGCGGTGCTGGTCAGGTGCTCGGCGCCTACGTTTACGTGCAGGTGAGCGGCTGGGGCTTCAGGGGCGCTCAGGTGCTCCGGGTCTCCCCACTCCTGGCGCGGGTCTTCCGGAGGGAATTACCCCCACCCCAGGCCCTCCGTCCCTTTAACCCAAGCCCATGCGGACTGGTCGGATCGCTGCGAGGGTAAGAGACCAGGGGAGTGGGCGGCCCGGGGACCTACACGGTCCTTGCAGGTTGCACGTCTTAGCTCTTCACCAAACACACGTCCAGCCACCGTCGGCTTCTCCCGGCGTCAGTGAGCGGGAGGTTTGGAGTTTGGGAACATGCCCTGCGCTGCGACCCCTCCCAGAGGCTAGGGAAAATGGGGCACCACATTCACAACACACACACACACACACACACACGTTTGGAGTTTGGGAACATGCCCTGCGCTGCGACCCCTCCCAGAGGCTAGGGAAAATGGTGCACCACATTCACAACACACACACACACACACGCACGCACACACACACGTTTGGAGTTTGGGAACATGCCCTGCGCTGCGACCCCTCCCAGAGGCTAGGGAAAATGGGGCACCACATTCACAACACACACACACACACACACACACACACCACCCTTACTTTCTCTTACTTTTGCCTATCTTGGCGCCTTTCCCTTCCTATCATCAACGCTGTCTTGTGGGGGTGGGTGCGTGTGAAGGGGAAGACTGGAGAGAAGGAGTAGGAACTGGAATGCTGCCCAGTGAAGTCTGGACCCAGAACTGGGGCTTTCCACTGCTAAGAGCAACATTCCGGGCAGGGGGTGGGGGTGAGGGGGGTGAATCTGAGATTTCTTTCACACACACACACACACACACACACACACACACACACACACACTTTATTGCTTTATGTCAGTGATGTAATATTGTGGGTTCTATTTACCAAACATCCTTTTCCATTTTAGCCTTTGTTTGTTCCAGGAAAGCAGTTTTTACTTACTAACCATAACTACTGAATTAGCTTAGTAAGAAGAAAATCGGTGTTTAAGGTTGTTGATTTTTCTTTTAGCCTTAATTTATGTTTGGTTCATGTGTTAGGAAGACAAGGGTAAAGAACTATCCTAAGCCAAATGTGTTAGTCAATATATTTGCATTGCCTTATTGGAAATATTTCTTCATATGTAATGTTCCTTTTAGAATTGCTACCTTTGCTACTATTGCTACTTCAAAGTGGTGAGTTTATTTGTTGAACCACTGTCTGGAGATCAGTATAAAACAATTTAAAGTTTAAGTAATGTTCCAGGTATGGTACAAACATGGTTAAAAACCAAAACATAATTATTGCTCTCAAGCTGATACACATAATGTACATACATGTTGTACATATAAAAGCAAAGCAAGCATGCCAAGGAGTTTTTGTCTGTATCTATAATATAGTAATGCAGAAGTCTTTTTGAGGATTTAAAAATGTTTTCAGATTTGAAATAGGAAGTTAATAAAAGCTTAATTCTAGATACTTTTTGGCATGAATCATTGTCAAGAATGAACAGGAAGGGGCTGGGGCCATATTTGCCTTGCACGCAGAGTGACCCAGGTTCGATTCCCAGCATCTCATATGGTCCCCTGAACACTGCCAGGAGTAATTCCTGAGTGTAAAGCCAGGAGTAACCCCTGTGCATCATCAGGTGTGACCCAAAAAGCAGAAAAAAAAAAAAGAATGAACAGGAAAAAGAGAACAAAATATCCTTGCTTGTTTTAGTAAGCCCAATTAGAACTGACAATTTACATGTGTATTAATTATTCAGATTGCCTCTTATAATAAGAATAAGAACTTTTTTGTATTATACACAGAAGAAAACAGCAATCTTGGTCGAAAAGACATTTATCCTGGGAAACAACTTTCCACACATATCACTGATTAGATAAATGTTGAAATTTTTGTTGATAAATTGTTGAACTTCACTGGAAAGTTCAACATCAAGTTTCAGAATTTGTTTCTATTTAGTTCTAGTTTAGAGTCTAGCTGTTAAAAATGATTTTTGCATTTCTTCTTAATGAGCGAATACAAAGTATAGTTGACAATTACCTTTGAATGTCCTACATTTGTTATTTTCAAGAAATTACTTTAATCTGTTTTCTACTCTAGTAACCAAGCTGACATAATTAATCAAGTACAGGTGCATAGCAGGAGAGATAGTACAGTGGATAAAGCATTTGCCTTGCACATGACTGACCTAAGTTCAATCCCTGGTATCATATGGTCCCTGGAACACTGACAGAAGTGGTCGGTGAACCTAAAGCCAGGAGTAAGCCCTGAGCACCCCCTGACATTGTTCAACAACCTCCTCAAAAAAAAAAAAGAAAATGAAACCAAAACACCCCCAAAACAGGTCCATAACTTTACTTTTAAAACAGCATTATTATTTGATCTGCTAATATTTCCATGTTGCTAAGTTCCTACAGATGACCTAGCCTTAACAGTAAGTTCAGTAGTACATGAGTGTATAAAAATCTGACCCAATAATTCAAGGCATCCGAAAAGTTTGTATGTATGTAAATCATATTATTATATTTTTGAAAGTTTTATTTGGGGAACATATTTATGTAGTTTCTATGAGGAGAGTTTCTAAAAGGTAAGAAAGTTTTAAAATGCAAATAAACATACTAGTTTACAGCTAAGAAATCAATTTAATTTGTTTTCTACTTCTAGTAAAATTGCAGACATAATGAGTACAACTTAAATCCCTTGTTTATGACGGTAATCTGCAACCTAATGTTTCCAGACCGATTTATGATAGAACTTGGATTATTAAGCATGAGCACTCTCGGTTTGGAGTAAATTATTTCCATTAACTTCTGTGTCCTTTTTTTTCCTTTTAATCAGATTTCATTTAACTGATCAAGAACTTTGAAAATGACTTCAAAACTTCTCTGGGTGTCCTTCATACTTGCCGCGTTAACATTTTCAGTTACGTTTTCTCTTCAACCAGATCAGCAGAAGGTTCTAGTTGTTTCGTTTGATGGATTTCGTTGGGATTACTTATATAGAGTACCTACCCCTCATTTTCATTATGTTATGAAGCATGGTGTCCATGTGAAGCAAGTTACCAATATTTTTATTACAAAAACATACCCTAACCATTATACTTTGGTAACTGGCCTGTTTGCTGAGAACCATGGGATTGTGGCAAATGACATGTTTGATCCAGTTCTGAATAGATCGTTCTCCTTGGATCACATGGATATTTATGATTCTGAGTTTTGGGAAGAAGCAACACCAATATGGATCACAAATCAGAGGGCAGGATATGCTAGTGGTGCAGCCATGTGGCCGGCAACAGATGTGCAAATACACAAAACCTTTCCTACTCACTATATGCCTTATAACGAGTCTGTCTCATTTGAAGACAGAGCTGCCAAGATTATTGAGTGGTTTACATCAGAAGAGCCTATAAATCTTGGTCTTCTCTATTGGGAAGACCCTGATGACATGGGCCACCAACTGGGACCTGACAGCCCACTGATGGAGCCTGTCATTGCAGATATTGACAACAAGTTAGGGTATCTCATCAAAATGCTGAAAAAAGCAAAGTTGTGGAACGTTTTGAACCTGATCATCACAAGTGATCATGGGATGACCCAGTGTTCTGATGAAAGGGTAATAGAACTTGACCGGTATCTGGACAGAGACCTCTATGTTTTGGTTGACCAATCTCCAGTAGCAGCTATTTTGCCAAAAGAAGGTGAGTCTGAAATTTGCTCTTTCAAGCCCATGTTTCCTCTTTCTCCCCAAGGCTTTTTCCACTCTGAGGAAGCCTGTGTTCTCTCTTGAACACCTACTCCTCTCTTTTCTCTCACATCTTTCTAAGTAAACTTCTTTCAATAAAAACTCTTTCTTCACTTAAAAAAAATGAAAATTTGACTAAATCTGAGAAGTCTAGCATGAGGCTAAGTTTCTGTGTTCCAGTGTGTTTGAGGAAAGAATTTTATTTTCAATGTGTGTAAGCCTGTTGGTGTCATGTTAATATTCTTCTATTTTTATTCTTAGATTTTGTAAAGATATAAATCTCTTCTCAAAGTCTAATGTTTACTAGAATATTGAAATTGATGCTTTCAATATATATTTACCATATATATTGTACAAATCATGTTCGATTCCTCCGCCCCTCTTGGAGAGCCCGGCAAGCTATCAAGAGTATCTCGCCTGCACGGCAAAGCCTGGCAAGCTCCCCGTGATGTATTCAATATGCCAAACACAGTAACAAGTCTCACAATGTTACTGGGCCCACTCGAGCAAATTGATGAACAACAGGAGGACCGTGACTGTGACCATTGTACAAATATACCATGGTCTGATTTAACCATGTTGGAATCATCCAACATCCAATCATCCATCTTCTCAGAAACATTAAGATGTAAAGAATTAGAATTAGAATGCAATTTCAGTGATTTCATGGAAGCCCTAAAATTTCTATAGAATCTTTGTTGTAACCTGGCCTATTAGGGAAGCTATAGAGTATGGGAACGAGAAATCTTTGGTCCACTTGAGATTAATTTTTCTTCTAAGTAGGGTAAGTAGTACCAGTACTTGGAACTTTTTACAACCTTTCCTCAGAGCCTGACTATAGGCTTTGAGGAAATGATGATTACCTTATAATCATCATTAAGTCTTATGATAATTGTTCTATCATTATAATACTAATAAGTATTATTTCTGTTTTAAGATCTCTGAACAATTTTCTAAGGTTCAACATGTCCAAGTGACAACAAAGTAAATGCAGAATTACATTTCAGTCTTTCTCATTTTTGTTTTCTCCTCTCATGGTTATTGCAGGTATCGAAGGAGAGAATAGGGGGCTGGGTAATAGCAGAGTGGGTAGCATGTTTGCATGAGGCCAACCCAGGTTTGCTCCTGACATCCTTTGAGTCCCCTTAGCACCTCCAGGCATAACTCCTAAGCATCACCGGCTGTCTCCGTCCTCCACCAAAAAAGGGAGAGAATAGATTTTTTTTGTGTGTGGTGGGGAGATGGGGTTTGGGCCATACCTGGGGTTGCTCCGTTGTTATTTATGGCTCTGTGCTTGTTGGTGCTGGGCAAATATATGATGCTAAGAATCTACATATAAGACAGTGAATGTTAAAATATCACATATACATAACACACAAACAGTTCAACACATTCAACATAAAATAGTATTGGTGGTGTTTAAGAAAATGTTCTTAATGCATCCATTTTTCTTAGATGATTAAATGAGGTTCCCATGCTGAGGATGCGTGTGGGAGGCAGGAGGGAAGTCCCCAACATGGATTTGAAAAACTAGAAAGGGTTAAAAAAGAATGTCAGTTTTACTGCTTGTGAACTTAAAATATCTGCAGTTTTACTGCATGTAAACTTAGAATATTTGCAACATTGCCAGTTTTTTAAAAAACTTTTACATTTTCCACACTACCTGCCCCTTCCAACCTCTCCTTTCCAAACCTCATCCTCTAAAGATTCTCTACCTCTGAACTCATAACTTTTATTTATTTATTTTATTTTATTTTGCTTTTTGGGTCACACCTGGTGATGCACAGGGGTTCCTCCTGACTCTGCACTCAGGAGTTACTCCTGGCGGTGCTCAGGGGACCATATGGGATGCTGGGAATCGGCCGCGTGCAAGGCAAACGCCCTACCCGCTGTGCTATCTCTCCAGCCCCTGAACTCATAACTTTTAGAAGTTAACTCTTTGTTTTTGTTTGCAGTTAGCTAGATACTCAACTCAAGGCCAATAATGAATGTCCATTTATGTCTTTAAATTTGAGAGTAGAGATCTCTACTTCCATTCCATAAAATGCTTTCTTAATTCCAAAAGGTGAATTTTCTTATGACAAGTAATTTCTCAGTTTTCTTAGAAAGGAGGGAAGTTCCAAAGTGTGTGAATATTTAGTTGTTTGGCTGGCTGCCTGGCCTTTGACCTCAGCAGAATATTTGCTTTGGAAATAATAGTTTCTCCCTGTTGCCCCAGGGTTGGTTTTTGGTTTTAACCATGAATGACTTGTTCTCAATGCCTCTCTTTCTTCCTTCTGTTTTAGGCAAAATCGATGAAGTCTATGAAGCCCTAGTACATGCTCATCCTAATCTTACTATTTACAAAAAAGAAGAGATCCCGGAAAAATGGCATTACCAACACAACAATAGAATTCAGCCACTCATAGCAGTGGCTGATGAAGGGTGGTATATTTTACAGAATAAGTCTGATGATTTTATGTGTGAGTATGTGAGAGTATTTCTTTCCATTCTGTATTATTGAAGTGGAAGCTTTATAAAGTGTGTCAATAATATAATTACTGATTGAATAACTAGATAGTAGCATACATTAATAGCAAAAAGAATAGCAAATAAAGAGACTTTTAAAGGAGTTAAGCTTGGTGCTGGAGCAACAGTAAAGCAGGTAGGCATGTGGCCAACCCCGTTTGATCCCCGGTACCTCATATGGTCCACTGAGCCTGCCAAGAGTAATCACTGAGTGCTGCCAGGTTTGGCCTCCCACAATAAATAAATAAAATTAAAAAATTAAGCTTATAAGCTTATACTTCTAAACCTCAAGACTAATAATGTGCCCACTGATCTTTGCTAATAATAATGACTGTGTTCCTGAGAAAACTATTACCAAAATTTAAATGACTGCAATTTATAAATTGAGTTCTGTATTATAAAATTATAGTTTTCTAAATTGAGTTATTTTCTCTATTTATATTCTTATCTTTTAATAATTCAATTTCTACTTTTATTTGGAATTGCTAGCTTTCCATTTCTTTTGTTCCTCTGGCTCTACCATTTTGCTTTGCTTCATCTTGGAAATATTTCTTAAAAGATATGTATATGATATAGATAACAGGTTGGGTGGTGGAGGTAGGCTGCTGGGTCCTGGCGGCCGACCTCCACTACCCAACCTCTGCCACATTCCAGGCCACTTTCCGGACTGCACGGCCGTGACACATTAGAGGACACTTTCTATCCATTTTCCATAATTGCCGCACCATATTTGATGGGGGTTCAGACAGTAGGCCACAAATCATAGAAATATTTAACTATATGCTTCTGAGCCTGGCAAGCTTCTGAGAGTATCCCGCCCGCAGGGGCAGAGCCTGGCAAGCTCCCCGTGGCGTATTCAATATGCCAAAACCAGTAATGACAACAGGTCTCATTCAATCCCTGACCCTGAAAGAGCTTCCAATTGTTGGAAAATACAAGTATGAAGAGGCTGCTAAAATCTCAGGGCTGGGATGAACAGAGATGTAACTGGCACCCGCTCAAGTAAATTGGCGAACAATGGGATGACAGTGATAGATAACAGGTCAAGACTTTTCTTTAAAATACATTATAATATAGTTCTATAGATACTTCCACTGAAAAACTGAATTAAAACATACAAAACAAGGTGCTTTCTACCTTAATATGTAATTTTCTCATGGCAGATGACTCTTTTTGTTTGTCCACACCCAGCAATGAGCAGGGCTTACTCCTGGTTTTGTCTTCAGGTATAACTCCTGACAGACTCACCCCATAAGGGATGCAGAGGGTTCTCGCTACATGCAAGGCAAATGCCCACCAGCTATGTTGTTGCTCTGGCCCTGCATTTTTAATAGGGGCCCAAATTCTGAGATGGGACAAGGTACCAAAGCAGGGGTAGAGATAAAAGTCAGGACTTGCATATGCTCAACATGTGCTCTTTAGTCCCCCCCCGCGCCCCCTTACACACACACACACACACACACACGTCAAATAGGAAAGCCCTCCACTAGATCTTACCATATTACCATATTTATTGTGTCCATCATTTGCATATTTTCTCTCAAACTCTTGACCCCCTCTCTCTATAATGTATCATCACTGGGGCTGACTCCTATGGACTCAGTTTCCCAGTCTCCCTTTCAAACTGGCTTCTGGTTAGATTGGCCAATAGAAGATCCTGGTATGAGTTTTGGTGGTTGGGAGTGGGGGGCATGTGTGCACTCTGGGTATTTTTCTCCTACTCTGCCTCAGATCCTGAGCTTCAACCCCAACTAGGGCTTTATTTCTAATCAATCACAAATCATCCTGTTATTCGTCGATTGCCTCGAGCAGGCCCCAGTAACGTCTCCTTCATCCTAGCCCTGAGATTATATTCAAGGCTCTTTAGGAGAATGAGACCCATCATTGTTACTGGTATTTGGCATATTGGGTACACCACGGGGAGTTTGCCAGACTCTGCCGTGTGGGCAGGCTATATTTGGTAGCCTGCCAGTTTGTCCAAAAACAGTTTGTCATTTCTAATACTCAGGAAATACCACTGTCCCATGCTTGCTTGTCTGCCCTCCAACACTTAATAACCACATTGGATATTCCCCCTATTGAACCACTGGTATGGATTCTGCTTTCCTGGGCGATCCAGATATTAACATTGTCAGCTCCCTGGAACTTATTTCTAATGTTACATGAGTTTGAAATACACATATTGCATGAAAACACTCCAAATTTTTCTTCAGACATTAATTTTTGATACATAGAAGATGTTAAAAAGAAATATCTCTTTCAGTAGAATGGGTTCCCATCATGCTTATTGACAAAAAGAAAACCAACTACATATGATGGCCTTTGTAGGATATCTGTGGGTCATAGTAGCAGATGTGTATAAGTACATGGTTTCTGTTTGTTAAAGGGGATTTGGCATACAAATAATGATCTGTAAGGCAATATTTAGTCATACACAGGCTTCTTTTATGAACGTCTTCAATAGATGTATTTTGTAGTGACTTAATTTTGGTCATGCGAATTAGTCCCATTCTTTTTGGGCAAGTTTTTAATGCATTGTACCAGAGTTACAGAGTTTATTCAATAAAAAAGCTGCTACCTTGTAGATTTTTATTTTATGGGTAACATAAATTCAAGGGGCTCTTGAAATCTTGGTTTGATTCAACCGTAGTTACATAGCAGATTTGTCAGCACCTATTTTTTATTTAAAAAAAATTTAGTAAGTCACCTCTTTATTTTCTCAGTTATTAAATTTTAATATACTATTTAGTCATTCTCAGCCTGAGTTCCACAAAAGACTTATATCCTACTATTCAAAATCAGTGATTCTAGGGGCTGGAGCGATAGCACAGCGGGTAGGGCGCTTGCCTTGCATGCAGCCAACATGGTCGACACAGGTTCGATTCCCAGCATCCCATATGTTCCCCCGAGCACTACTAGGAGTGATTCCTGAGTGCATGAGCCAGGAGTAACCCCTGAGCATCGCCGGGTGTGACCCAAAAAGCAAAAAAAAAAAAAAAATTCTGTGATTCTTCAAGTATGTTCCCATATGAATCAGCAATATCCATATTTACTTGGGAAATTGTTAGGAAATGGAAATTCTTAGACCCAGTCTTGAATGAGGACAGAGCCCAGAAATCTATTATTTTATGACTTGTATCCCACTCTCCTACCACCCCAAGGAATGCCCTTAGGTATACATCACTAAATACTGCCCAGTGGACCGGGTATTTATGGTAGTGCTTTACTGCTTTAGAATAAAGCCCCTTTGTGGGAGAAAGGTTTTATAGATTATTATTATTTCATTTAAGGTCTCATTTTCTAGTAAAGAGTATAATGTGGGAGATTATCTTTGCTTTTATAAAAACCCACCTCCTTCCCATGTAATAGAACAAAGCAATTATTTGATTACAAATGATATTGACCTATTTCACAGTCTTACAGTCAATCAAATAGAAAAGCACAATACCTTGTTAGCTAATTACTAGGAATTTCATAAATACAACATGTTTTTACTTAGCACTGTAGCACTGTCCTCCTGTTGTTCATCAATTTGCTCGAGTGGGCCCAGTAACATCACCATTGTGAGACTTTGTTCTTACTGTGTTTGGCGTATCAAATACATCACCAGTAGCTTGCCAGGCTTTGGTGTTCGGGCAAGATACTCTCGGTAGCTTGCCAGGCTCTCTCAGAGGGGCAGAGGAATTGGTTGGCTGCATGCAAGGCAAACGCCCTACCTGCTGTGCTTTAAACTAAAAAAAGACTTGTGGTCTTTGGGAAGACTTTCAATAGTCCTTGGTATATTTGGAATTAATTTGTGATGATGACCAGGTGTTAATTCATGACTTTCAGGAAAATTGATTTAGGATTTTTTTTTAATATTCCCATCCTTTCTTTTTTTAGTAATACTATAGGTATTAAAGAATGACTTGACAATCATTTTTTATCACCACTGATAAACCCTGCTACCTCAACTACCAAACAGTATTTTTAAGGGGAAAAAGTTAAAATAAAGCCCTGAGGGGGGTTGGGGTGCATCTCTAGAGCAATACTATAGTGGGTAGGGCACTTACCATGCACACGACTGACCAGGGTTTGATCATCGGCACCGTGTATGGTTCCCCAAACCCTGCCAGAAGTGACCTTTGAGCAGAGAGCCAGAAGTAATCCCTGAGCACTGCCAGGTGTGGCCCAAAAAGCAAAACAAAAAAGTAATAAAGCCCTAAGAGCTGTTAATCACCAATAACTCCTTCACTTTGCACAATGATATTATAACAGAAGTACTTGCTTTTTAAATGCAGTTTTTCTATTGTAAATTTTATTTTTTTATACTTTAGTTTTGTATCATATGGTAAATCAGAAGATTCCTAAAGGAATTCCTAAATTCCTAAAGATTCCTAAATTCCTATTTATTCCTAAATAAATATATCTAATTTCTAATTCATTAGGAATTAGATATATTTATCTAATTTCTAATTCATTAGGAATTAGATATATTTAATGTGTATATCTAAGCCACATTAAATATACACAGTGTAGCTTAGCCTGGGGTTTTTATCCAGACTACCAAAATGAAGGTCTTATTGATAAGTAGTATCCTGCTTTTTCATTAGCCTATTACAGCTGTAACTAGAGGTTTGATTTTGTGGTATCTGTATTAACTGTTTCCCCCCTATTGTTGGTAATTATGAATCTGTTTCTTTCATGACCAGTGTTTTAAACTTTTTACATTTAGAACAATCACAGGAACAAGAACTTGCTGGTTTACCTTCCCCCTCCTTCCTAAAAATAAGAGTCACTTTCATGTCCCTGGATGTGACTCAGCTGTGTTCTTTACCCTTCCTTCTCCACTGCTTGAAGGAATGTTTGCCTGTAAGCGAAATTTGAAATCTTTTGACTCTTCATTCCCTGAAATGAACCGTATGCTGAAAACAGCAGAGATTGTTTGTAAGAGATTATTTTTAGCCTAAAAGTCAAATTAGATGAAGTTTGCATATCTTATAATACAAGTTATTTCCATTTTAATGCCATCTGTTCAGCTAACTTTCACATGCATTTTATCTTTGCAGTAGGCAACCATGGTTATGACAATGCACTGGCAAAAATGCACCCAATGTTTTTAGCCCACGGTCCTGCCTTCAGAAAGAATTTCACAAAAGAAGCAATGAACTCAACAGATCTGTACCCACTGCTGTGCCACCTCCTCAATCTCACTGCCCTGCCACACAATGGATCACTCAGAAATGTCCAAGATCTGCTCATTTCAGCAGTTTCAAGAACAACTTCTTACACGCAGAGTACAACACTTCTCCGTGGGAGTGGCAAGCCAGGGGAATCTGATCAAGAGGAATCATATGCTTTTTTCATAGGAGTTTCTCTGGGGACCATTATAGTTATTGTATTTTTTGTCATTTCCATTAAATATTTAATTCACAGTCAAATGCCAGCCTTATCAGATATGCAGGCTGAAATAGCTCAACCCTTATTACAAGCCTAATGCTGTTTTGAAGTGAAGAATGCATAATTATGTCAGTGTTTATAGGTTTCACATTCTAGGAGACCAGCTTCAGAAATGTGCATAGACTAGTAAGCAGTTATATTATATATGCATATAGACACAGATGAGCCAAAATACACATACTGCAAAGGATTAAAGATGTGGAATTATGTTTCCATCATTAGCTTAGGAGTAGATAAGATCCTGCTTTATTTGGATTTGGCACATATAATGTATATATTTAGTAATTTTGCACTATGTAAAGTACCTTATATATTGTACTTTAAATTACTCTCCTAGTGGGTACTTTGATATAAGATGCACTTTATTGGTAATGTTCGTATAACTTGTTTGAAAAGCCACTTTTTGCACCCACGTCATTGATTACTTGTTACTCATTGACTAATTGAATGGAATTTCTAATAATTCATGAACAATGTAGAAATATATCTCATAAAATTGGGAGAATACAAAGGAGGTGAAAATTACTTAAAACTAAATTGTAGCAAACTTTGTGTGCTGAATTTGTGTGAGATGTGTTTCCAACAGCAGAATGCATCCATCTTTGGTTATTCTTTAGTAATTTCTTTCCCAAGGATACGGATTTCATTTTATTTCCCATCCTTCAGCTCACAGCACATATGCAAGGTTAAAATGCACTGTAGCACTGTCCTCCCATTGTTCATCGATTGGCTCGGACACCAGTAACGTTGCCATTGTGAGACTGTTTTTGGCATATCGAATATGCCACGGGGAGCTTGCCAGGCTCTGCTGTGTAGGCAGGATTCTCTCGGTAGCTTGCCAGGCTCTCCAGAGGAATCGAACCCTGGTTGGCCACATGCAAGGCAAACACCCTACCCGCTGTGCTTTCGCTCTAGCCTTATTGACAGATTATTGAAATATTTAAACGTGCATTTCTCTTCTTTGTCCAGTCCTGAATAGAAGGGATTGAGCACTATCTCAGTAACATTTGAATCTGCATCTTTAATCATGTTTAAAATAAAATTAGATAAGTATATTTGTTTCTTTCTAGTAAGAGAGCACAGGCTCAAATTTGAGCTACTGAAGATCAAAGTTGATGCAAGAGAGCACAAACTTTACTAGTTAAAACTTATTTGACTGTTTGATCCTTGAAAAATCTGGAGCTTGGAGAATGAAATTCAGCAGAAGTATATCTGAATTGTTCATACTCAGAACAGTACTAGGAGCTGCATTTCTAATGACAGGAACTAGCAAAATAAGTCTACTACAAATACTGAAGTAGCCTGAAGTTAGACTATTTTTAAGGAAATATTTGAATACCTAGTCCCCGAGTGTTCAGTGGAATTGAAAATTAGTTCAAGTTCATAAATACACTTCAATCTCCTAGGGAATACTTATCTCAAACAAACTACCTTCTGGGTATTTTCTTCAGTTATTCATTCCCCAACCCAAACCGTTCTTTGCTTCTCTTAAGTAGTTAGGTGATGGTTCCATAGAGGCCAGAGGAGGCCCTGAGCCCTGGAAACAAAGCTTTCTTTGAAGAAAATGGAAAACAGTCTGTACACATATCCCATATAAGTAATACTATGCTTACTTACCATATAGGTGATTTTTATGTGTGCTTATCCACCAGTTTACTAATTACACAAAATGGTGTATGTATTCCAGAAAGAATGGATAAATGTAAAATCAGAAGTGACACAAGAAAATATAATTTTAGGGACATCTTAATATACGGTAAATGACTTTATAATACCAATGATGAATGTTAGCACCTAATTCTTCTTCATACAATCCGTACACAAGATAGGTTGTCATTACTGGGAATGTAGACTCAGAAGCTGGGACGTTTGATGATAGAGAGCAAACACCGAAGGTCTGAAATCTGGATTAGACGGTTTAGAATGTATTACCACTGGCGTATTTTGCAATCATTTATTGAAACATTAATGCCAAAAATGATATTGGTCTGTCTAAAAGTGTTACTATTCAAGTGCAATCTGTACATTTAAACTAATGGTTGCATTAAATTTATTCTAGAAGGTGCTATGACTGTAAAAAAATTTTGTAAGGTTGATGAAGTCATTAAAATTCTGAATACTAAGATTCGATGGGTTAATAGTTTCTTTTATCAATGATCAATTTTGTTGTTTTGTAAACTACCAGCAGGGAAATTTGAAACAAAAATTTAAAAATGTAACTTTGCTGGGAAAATCTCATCATTCTTTGGTAGCTCTTTTGTTTCACTTGTGTAGCTTCAAACTATGGAGCATATATAAATAAATTTTAGACTTAATCTTATTTAGGTCATTTGCATTCGGAGATGGTTGTTCCGTTGGGAGCGAATAGGGCGTCAGGAACAAATGACCTGGCACCCGAGCTGCGCAGGAGGAAGAGAGCGACTTGGAACGCCTTCAAGAGCGTCGAAGAAATAGCTAAGAGGACGAAGAACCTCTGGCTCCGGGCACATCTCTTTGATTTCACTGTTCTTCCTGCATTAACATATGCCTCAGAGACCTGGGCCCTACGCACGCAAACAGGATGAGAACACTATTCAGGTCCCCCAAAGAGGAATTGAAAGAGCTATGCTTGGAGTATCACGTTTCACTCAAATGAGAGAAAGAATCTGGAGTTCCCAAATCCATCGACGATCAAGAATCAGGGACGCTGTCTCGTTTGCCAAGGTGTCAAAAATCAGATGGGCTGGTCACGTAATGAGATTTAAAGACGACCGCTGGACTAGAGCTGTTACCGACTGGATTCCACGGGATGTCAAAAGACCGCGAGGCCGCCCACCTACCAGATGGCCCTTCATGTTCCTGGTACGAGTAGACGCCATTGGACTACACTAGCATGCGACAGGGACAAATGGAAACGTTACTGGTACCCACTCAAGCAAATCGACGATTAACGGGAAGTTAAGTGTTAAGTGTTAATCTTATTTAAAATGTTAAAAAAAAAAGTGCCCTTTGGGGCTGGAGCGATAACACAGCAGGTAGGGCATTTGCCTTGCATGGGGCTGACCCAGGTTCGAATCCCTGCATCCCACATGGTCCCCTGAGTAATTCCTGAGGGCAGAGCCAGGAGTAACCCCTGAGCATTTCTGGGTGTAACCCAAAAAGCAAAAAAAAAAAAAAAAAAACAAACCAAAAGTGCCCTTTTCCCTCACCTTGCCATTTTTCATCAATATGCTTCATCACATATATAATTGTGTATATACAATTTATTCATTTTTCTTACCATTATGTTTGCTTTGCAATTTATTCTCCCTTCATATCCTACCATTTAAATTTAAAATTGCTTTACAGGATCCTTATACAACTTAAGGCAAGGCACTTGTACTCTTTAGCCAACTCTGATTCAATCCCCAGTACCACATTGGTCCCTCAAGCATCACCAGGGGTCATACCTAAACACAGAGCCAGGGATAGTTTCTAAGCCCTGTCAGTTCTTCCCCCCTCGCCCCAAAACCCAAAAGGTGTAAATGCTTTCAAAATGCTTTCTGACTTAAGGTAACACTAGGATACTATGTTTGGTTTCTTACAAGGACATACTATTTCTAGAAATTCTCATGCAGAGAAAGGGATCAAATGATGCACCCAGATCTGTTGACTACCCCATCTCTTTTTTTAAGATATTCAATAAATCATGGGGGTTCACTTGATGACTTGACATCCCATTACCCATCGATTTGCTCGAGTGGGCACCAGTAATGTCTCCATTCATCCCTGCCGCATGCTAGTGTAGCCCAATGGCGTCTACTCGCTCCAGGAACATGAAGGGCCTCAAACCGATCATTCAGGGTCTTGATGAAGAAGTCTGACCATCTCGTAGGTGGACGGCCACGCAATCTTTTGACGTCCAGTGGAATCCAGTCGGTAATGGTCTAGACCAGCGGTTGTCTCCAAATCGCATTACGTGTCCAGCCCACCTGATTTTCAACACCTTGGCAAATGAGACAGCATCCCTGATTTTCAATTGTCAACAGAGGACATAACTCCAGATTCTTTCTCTCACTTGAGTGAAGCATGATACTCCAAGCACAGCTCTTTCAATTCCTCTTTGAGAGACAGGAAAAATGGTGGAATCAAAAAGATGTGCCCGGAGCCATGGGTTTTTTATCCTCTTACCTTTTAGCTATTTCTTCGGTGCCAGGTCATTCGTCATGTTGAGTTCTCGACCTAGGTGCACATAACTGTTCCATTCGGAGATGTTCGTTCCATTAAGAGTGAATGGAATGTCAGGAATGAGTCTGCTTCTCATAAAAATTGTCTTCGTGAGACTCAGCTGACCTTTCTACACTCATGGTCGAAGTCGGCCAGCATTTGTGCCACTTGGTCAATGTTTGGGATTATTAGAACGATGTCATCAGCGAAGTGGAGGTGATGTAGTTGCCGACATTTATCTTCACTCCCATTCCTTACCATTCCAGTTATCGCATGACGTTCTCGAGGGTGGCACTGAAGAGTTTCAGTGAAGTGTTATCACCCTGCCGAAACTCTCTCTTGACATGGATGATTACTTCCTTGTAGAATGGTGAGATCCTGGTAGTGAATCCATAATACAGCTCATGGAGGATTCTAATGTATTGAGTTTGAATGCCCTGTTTGGTTAGGGCTTTGATGACCACATCAGTCTCAACAGAATCAAAGGCCTTCTTTAAACCAATGAACGTTAGACAGAGCGGCATCTTGAACTCCTGAGAAACCTCAATGAGCTTGGTTACATTGTGGATATGGCCTATCATGCCGAATCCTTTTCAGAACCTGGCTTGCTCACATGGTTGCCCTTCATCCAGTGTTCTGCCAATCCTATTCGGGATAACTCAAGTGAACAGCTTGTAGACAACAGACAACAGGCAGATCGGGCAATAGTTGCCAATGTCGTGGATGTCTCCCTTCTTGTACAGTAGAACAGTCCTGTTGGTTTTCCATTGGGACGGAATTTTGCATTCAGACAGGTAGCATGTGAAGAGCCAAGCCAGTGTATTGATGAGTACTGATGGCAGGTTCTTCAGATGTTCAGGTCTGACCTTGTCTGGGCCAGGTGCTGTTCGCTTCTGTACTGACGAAATGGCGTGTCGGATTTCGGGAGAATGTTGGGAACTACATATCTAATCCATCCTGCGGAATTTGGTATGTGGGCAGGTGGACATGGCTATCAAAGAGATCCGAGTAGAAGTCATGGATAATCTTCTCCATTGACCTTCTGGAAGATGTGATAGATCCATTAGGACATCAGAGGGCAGTCATCATCTTGGTCTTGTAGTTGGCGAAGGACAGGCAGATGTTGCGAATGCCAGCACTGCTGCTCTTCTCTCTGAGGTCTTCCTTTATCACTTCTCTGAAC